TAGCAGGTCCAGCACAGAAGAAAAAGTTCCCTTGTTAGCACTTTAGTTTTGTAGTTGAGTTTGTGAGAAAAGAACATGGCTCAATTGGCCATGATTTCGAACATTATTCCCAAATGCAAAAGTTGTTGTTTAATGTGGATGAAACAACAAAAACGCAGTGTGGTTTCATGACACATATTTTACATGTCCGTATTCGCTTGTTGAATCATTTTTCATGCTTGATTATTTGGAGGAACATGTGGGAACCACGTGCGGCCATCAAACTTCAAGGTCTGAGAAGTGATCAACATTTTTGTCCCCACCCTCCCACCCTGGGGTGAATTGCGGGCGCATCCTGACCTTGTGTAGGCGCTGTGGCAACCTTGAGTCGGGAGGGCGGCCATGCTGGTGGGGGCATTGCGTGTGACAGTTGGTCACAGTGATGCTGCATGCGTATCGTGTGCATACCAATGCTTCAACCCCATTGCCTCTTTCGAGAGAAAAACAGCTGGAGTGCACTCTGTGCAGTGCATGTCCATTGTTTATATTACGTATGGATGAATATGATATATGGTTGTTGTGAATCGAATATGGGTATTTTGTGAAACATGATGGTGATACCAACTGCGTGGGTTTTGATATTTGGGAATACAAATAGTATAGCACGTAAGTTTGTTTTAAACTACACATGTGGGGTGCGCCGCCGGTCTTTTAATTTTATATTGACATCGTACTAGCAGCACGCTACCATTTGCCACCGCAAAACATTTTTTGGTGCTGATTTTTCAAGAATGCTCTGTGGCTTTGCGATTAGTTTCCACAGCCAATATATTCAATAACTTTTTCATTCCCGAAGAAGCTTTTGGTTCCACGATTACGTAGGTTTTTGGTTTTGGGCAAGTTTGAAAGTTGCATTGTTCTTGTAAGAATTGCGGCCAGGAGGGTGACTGCTGGATACTGCAGCTCAGCAGATGGCCTGTGCGGCACAAGGTGTACATTGCAACAGCCGCGGTTGGTACGCTTGCGCGCCAAAATGTTCACCACCAGACGACACAGCACACCAAGAAAATGCGCCCACTTGTTTTCGAGCCGAACGATCAGCAGCACAGCCGCGAAGCAGTCATCAAGACCCGCGCGCAAAGATTGCTGACACAGCCATGTAAAGATTCATGGCTTTCAAAGCGTATGCCCTTTGGCTTGAAGCTTGATAGGCAGCCAGTTGCCATATTGATTTGACGCCAATTGTGTCAGCCACTTGTGTTTCGCGCAAGTTTGTCCAGACATGCCGTAAACAGCTGGATAATTTTTTGGCATTGACGCAATCTGGCGGTTTGTTTTTGCGTGGAAGCCTGCGCGGGTCGGAAGATATGGGCAAACATTGTGAGTATTTTCAGCTTTGTTGACGCAATGCCAAGACGAAGCGAGCAATAGGAACAAATGCCATTATGCGCAGCCATGGACGCGGACGATGTCGCCATGCTGTAGGTGTACTAGCAACATTGTGCCTCTTGTGGCACTTTGCAGTGCAACATTGGAATGTTGCAGACGCAGCAATCGGGGTTGGAGGCCAGCTTCTTCATGTGTTGTTCATGTACGTATGAGGATGCATGAACTTCCGCAGTTGATTTCGATTTTTTTCTCTGCTTGCATCATGCTGATTCCAGTGCCTGTTAGATCGGTGTGCATCTCGTCAGGGCATCCCAATGCTGGAACTTCATTGCAGAAAGCGGAAGGAGTTTTGGCCGATGCAGCTTTGGAAGACTTCCAGCGCAAGCTGCCCCATTGGTGGCAGAAAGCAGGCAGACAATCAAGAAGACAGACGTTCCTTTGCATGTGCGGCTTGTGCTAGTGAGGTAAGCGCATGTTGTCACATTTTGCAATTCCGTACCAGGTGATTTTTTTTTGCGACCCTTGGGTGGCTCTTTTCCATCACGCGCTCGCAATTCACCTTTGTTCTTCTTCCGTACGGAAAAAGTGCTGCACGGAAGTGGTTTGGTGAAGAGCGAAGGCAGGAGTATACCTTAAGCATCAGATTGCGTTTCATATTTTTTTGTTTAGAGAAGAAAGGGTACTTGTTTTCCAGGTGGACTTTCTCATCAAAGTTTGCGCAGCTGGTTGGAGGCAGGGTTATGAACAGGCGCTGTATTTTGTGATGTTCGCATCGTGTGTGCAGGAGGTATGTAGAGTCCTTGGCCTCGATTCAAGTCGATCGCGTTGCCCACAGCTTTGGATTGACCCTAGTTGGCCGCCGAATCGTCTCACGCCCCGCAGCAAGCGCTCTGCACCTGTGTGGATTTTTCCTATGCCGGCTGCAGAGCGAGATGCCTTGGCGGCTTTGAGAATGGATAAGAATCTATTTGCTTTTCGAAGGAGAAACTTTTCAGAAATCTTGGTATGTTAGACGAAATCAACTTGTGAGTGTTGTTGTTTTTTTGTATCCTGGGAATCTAGAGGTGGTCCAAGCAAGTTTGCTCAAGGAATATGGTCCAAAAGAGATAAAAGCGCTTATGGGCTTTGAAATAGGGCAGATGATTCTGAAGCGCTTGCCAGCTGTGGTGCCAGACGAAGTTGCTGAGCCATTGACCTACGGATTCTTGGCCCTGCGCGCGTATGATGCCCTCCGTCAGGCTACTGAACCCAATCAAGCTTTGGCAGGTGCACCTCGCTGGATACGAAATTTGTTGGCAGGGCACGCGCACTCTTGGTCTTGGAAGCGACCATATTCGCAGGGTGGAACTACAGCTGAATTCGAAGCGCTGGGCATGTTGGTCCGTCGATTAGTTCCAGGACCATTGCAGCCACCGATGTTTGCTGGGCTTGCACTCAATAGCGACCAGATTGAGCATGCTCTACAGCACCGGCTTCCTCCGAAGCTGCACCTTCGGGGTTCTTCAGGGCCTTCACCCATGCGAGGTCTGGCTGGAGATATCGTGCTTCTGGGGCTCTTCCGCCTCTTCAGTGGTTCCAGGGGCAGGTCCTACGTTTTGACATTGGTAGCTGGTCATGTTCAGAGGGTAACGTATTGATGATCAGTGGCAGTTGCATATGCTTACTTGGTTGAATTGCAGCCTTGTTTGCGCTGGCTTGCTGGCTTGAGCTTAGGACCGCGCAGCAGCACTTGCAGCAGGGGATGCGACAGCAGCAGCCAGTGCTCTGCTGCGTTCTCATCGCCTTTTACCACCACAAACGGACACTTGTCACACCAAAGACTAGTAGGCCATTGTAGGCCATACTAGAGCTAACATTCTTTTGCCGTCTGGCATTGACTGCACGCAAGGACCTTCGGAGAACGCTGGGAGGCGTTGCCGATGCAGCTCATCAGAGGCTTTGGGCGTATCGCCAGGAAGCTTTGCTTCAAAACCCAAGAGAGCCACCCCCGGGTGTTCGGGTTGCGGAGCTGTTGAGCTGGTCCCAGACTGAGCAAGGCAAGCGGCTCCTGGCATTGGCAGAGCTGCGGAGGGGCAAAGCATGGAAGGTTCCGTCCGTGGTGGCTCAGTGGCCTCCTTTGTGGAAATCCTGGATGGGATATTCTGCCTTGGCGATTCTGCTCTTGCCGTTTGCAGCTGGTGTCGATGCTGTGTGCTGGGCCTCGTGGTGCAGTATGATTCTTACTGGCTTTGGTCTGTTTTTGCCGCTCTTGCAGTATGTTGGGGCTCCGGCACTGCCCTTCGTGTCGCTCAGCACCTTGTGGATCTCTCTAGCTCTGTACAGTTTGATTGCTGGAAGCATTTGGTGGAACCACCTGTTGGGTGGAGCGCGACGCTGGGCTGTGCTCAGCGGCCAGCTTGCGGCTCAACTTGTGGATCAGGCAGATGCTGCCACTGGCATTGCCTTCCTGACACGAGATTGGGCAGAGATGGCACGGCGGTCCCTTGCAGCTCTTGACCAGGAGCTTGGACAACTGCAGGAATGTTGCAGACATCAATTTTGGTCTGGTCTTGTGTCTGATAGGAACTTTGTGGAAGCTGGAGGACGAGCCTCCATGAGCTGGCGCTCGCATCTCATGATCTGAAAAGTTGATGCAGCTTAATTCATCTTCGTTTCAGGTCAAAGCTGGCAGACCTGCGGCAGGAATTGGAGGTGTGCTTCCTGCAAGATGAAGGGCTGAGTTTAAGAAGATATTTGAGTAGCTCTCGAAGCTAGAGAAGCAGGCCCGTGTTCTGGCAACTGCAGTTTTGCAGGAGCCCCATGCGCTTAGCCTGCTGCCTCAGACTTCTGTGCGTGTATCTGGTAGTCTATCAAGGCTGTCCTCTGTCTGGTGTGGTTCGAAATACGGAGTCGGGTCGACTAAGGAAATGCTCTTGTGAAGGCTGTGGCAAAGTCCGATTGGAAGTGTCTTCGCAGAGCGCAGCTTTAAGTTATTGAGGTAATGGAAACGGCATCCGAAAGTCGCTCAAAGATGGTTACACCAGCGATGAAGCGGAGGCAAAGCTCAGTTTCTATGTGTGCGGCAGTGGCAGCCTCAGTCCTTGCTTCGGATGCGCAGGATGAGCACGGAACGCAGAGACAGCTGGCCATGAACTCGGGATCAGCACTAGTAGCGAGGCAGGTTTGTCCAGCTGGGTGGAACTTGTGGTGTGGCAGTAGTGTAACCATGTCATGCGGCAGTCCAACATATTGTCCGGAAAGAGTCTTGCTAGGCATGCTAGGAACTGGAGCAGACGTAGAAGGAAGACTGCTGGACTTGGTTGCAGTGATGACATGGTCCTCGCTCGCTCCAGCGCTGGCCCAAGGGTCACAGTCGAGGCTAGCGAAGCCTTGGCTAAGCCTGGTAGGCAGCTTCAACCCTTTAGTCAACTGCGCAACACCTGGTTTCCATACGTGCCTTGGTGGCTAATTGTGCCGATGTCAAGTTTTCTGCAGTATCATGGGTGTTCTGGGGATGACTAGAAGATGGTCCAGGTCCTAGCCGGGTTATGTTTGCAATGTGTTGTTGAGAGGCAAGCATTTTCAGGTCTTTGATTGTATCCGAGCTGACAATTTTTGACGGCAGGATTTCAATCTAGCTGTGCCGAGACGAGCTACCCCTCTCACCTCCAAAACTGTGCGCTGCAATTTCTTCGTGATTTTGAAAGCAAGGTTTGCGCTTTCCTTCCATCATTGTCATGCTGATTTATGTAGCTGTGCTCTCTTGCTGCAGGTAGCCTATGCGGGCCTTGCTTGAGTCTCGCACATGAGGTGCAAGGCTGAGAGGGTATCCACGTCTAGTGCTTGCCCATCTGCTTCTGATCAAGTTGATGCTGAGGTGGATGAGGCGATTCCTCACAAATCTACTTGTCCTGCACTTACGCCAATAGAGTGCTGGTAAGCAGTGATTGATTATTTTCGAGCCGCAGGTCCTTACTGCACTTCAGCGCGCTGCCTCCGCAACCGAGGCACAGGGCTCTTCGACATCCAACATGAAGAGATGTGCATGTGAAATATCTACAAATCCTTCAGGACAAGGCGGCGCCAGAAAGACAGCTGCACAGTGTGGAGCTTAAGCACACCACCAACCAGCTTCGGGGGTTGGCATTCATAGCAGTCATAATTTGGACAAGCAGGGACTCAACAACTTCCCCTACTAAAGCGTATGCATAGTGAAAGTGCAGTGGCTGGCCCATAGATGGAAGACAGCAGCATGTAGCTGCAATGTAGCTTGTGCTCTATCAGAAGGGGCATTGGGCAGAAATGTTCAGAGGGACAGGACTCACATGCATTCGTACTGACTTTCATCTTTTTTGGGAGGCTCCAAAACATCCTTGCTCAAGCCTGGAACCTGCTCCGCGCCAACCTCCCTACCTCAAGGTTTCGAGTTGCGCATTCATTCTTCATGGGGGCCACCCTGGGACCTGGTGTGCTTAGTCTCATTCAGGGTTTGGTGGTCAGTTTTCTGGGCGACGTCCGTGACCAGGGCGGAGAATGGTCTGCTTGCACCCACCGAACCAAACCTCCAAGCATCGCCCACCATCTTTTGGCATAGTTGGCAAATGCCACATCAGCCAGGGTGGAAGTTTATTTGTGCTTGTAGGCCTTCGGCTTTTCAAGCAGGTTGAACGACGACGACCACGTGGCTAACAACCATTAACAACCACAGAAATGAGGATGCCTTTGACAGAGAGACAACTGCTACCCATGCCAAGTGTAAGCTAAGTAATGCAATCTTACAATCGAAGCTCGGTGTCAGAATTCGGGTGTTGCCCACAACCTTTTACTTGAAGGCCTGCAGATTTGTGCCAGTGCCATGACCCACTGGATTCGCATCGTTCAAGCCTTTTTGGTTCTGTGGGGTACCTCCTGGAAAGCTTCATCGAGGCCAAGAGGTGGCTTGATACGCCGCGCATTCCGGAACTGAGTACTTGCCGAGGCAATTGCTGGGGCGCCAGATGAAGCCTAGGGGATGTTGCTGTAAAAGAGTGCTTCCGAAAACAAAAGTGATATAACTCCTGTTACCGGCCTTTAAGGCTCCTTAATGGAGTCCGAATACGACCAAAGATTTTTGCCATCTCTTGCCTGATATGACTGGGTTCGAAGCCATTTTTTCTAAAGTTCCGGGCCTTCTCTGCGATGCTCGCTTCGTATTGGCACCTCGACATTTGCAACTATTCCAGCTCACCTGTGTCCCTATTGTTGGTTTCAGCTTGTTGCCCGTGTGCCCGGCGGGTGAAGGCCAGGCTTCGGGTCCTCACACCTTGTCTCGTCACTGCCTAGCTGGCCTAGCTGCACCTGTAGAGAGCTCATGCCATGAAAAAAAACAGTGCACGACGATGTTGTAGACATTGCCTGAGCTTGCCGCCGAAAGCCTGCGTTTGATCGCTTTTGGGACCTGGTCTGAAGGTGCGCAAGGCAGCAAGGCCCTTCCGGCAGCGGTAGGGGTTTGGAAGTTTCTTGGCCTCAAGATCCCTGATCGTTGAACCCACATCTGCGAAAGTTTCAAGCTCAAATTCGAACAGCATCAAGCATTCCTGCATCCCAAACGCTGAATCTGCAGTGAATACTAGTCTTGCACCTTTGATCACCTGTATCTCCATGATTTCTAGTTCAGCCTTGTATTTTTCTGAGAAGAAACTCGATTGCTGATTTCAAATCTCCTTTTTTTTACTGATACGGAGAAAAGAGCGGCACGTAAAACGGTACTTGCATGAATGGCATTGACAGCATTGCTTTTGCAATCTCAGCTGTTGGCGCCTTTGTTGTTCGAGGTTCATCCCCCACCCGGTCAGGTTTCACAGACAGAGTAGAATGGCATACAGCGGCCCATTGGGATAATCAAATGAGTCAGCATTCTGACTCACCATTGCAATCTCGGCATTCACTTCGAAACGTTTTGCCAGCTCTGTTGTTGCTGGATGTGTGATGCTCGATGCTCTTTGGGATACACAGTATATACACTATGTAACAAGCATTCAGCATGAAGCCAGAGTTAATGCCGGCGAGAGGAGCGCTTCGTCTTATTGGCGGTGTGTCTTTAGTGGTCTGCGAGAGTGCCAAACCGCCTTGGTGCACCCGGCGTGTCATGCCGGGCCAAAGGCAGTCCAGGCCACTGACGCACTGCATCCTTTTAGCCTGAGACAGAGGGTGCCTGTTCGAGGCTGGTGGCGGCAGCAGCAGTAGCAGTAGTAGCAGAAGAAGGGCGGTGGTGGCGTCAAAGTGCAGACCGTCACAGTGGAAAGGCATGTCGTATTTGACACAATGGTGTTGTCATGTGTTTTGAAGCCTTGCATCTTGTCCGCATGTCAAAGCGTCGACAGTTACAGCTATACAGGTTTCCATAGGGTCTTACTAGACAGAACCTCCTTAGCACCAAGGACGACATTCATCTGTCCACAAGAGTCATGACAGGCACGCGTTGACTGCTCTTGAGGTAGAAGCCCTGTCTGATTTCTGCTGCATAGCATAACGCAGTGAATTTGAAGCCCGGCATGGCATGTGTTGAGTTGATGAGGGTTCAGACAAGCTTGTGTCGAGCTTCACCGACAGGGCCTCAAGCCGGCTCCTGCGTGGCACACTTGGACATTTTTGTTGCTCATGATGTAAAAAACACAGCACTCGGCTTCACCAAGGCCGACATGCTGTTGACAGCATGGGTGCCAGCGTCTGCTCGGCAGAATTTACTGAGCAAATGGGCATACCCCTCCGGCGCGATGACCATTACTACTACTACTACTACTCCTCCTACTCCTACTACTACTACTACTACTGCTACTGCTACTGCTACTGCTACTGCTACTGCTACTGCTACTGCTACTGCTACTCCTCCTCCTGCACCTGTTGCTGCTGTTGCTGTTGCTGTTGCTGCTACTACCGCGACTACTACTACGGCAGCCGCCGCCATGCACCTGCACACGCCACACAACGGCCAGCAGCAGCAGCAGCGGCGGCGGCGGCGGCGGCGACAGGTTGAGCACCACAACCACAAGCGATCAAAAGTAGAGTTCAACACTGTTGTCGTCATCATCAGCGGCGGCGCCGACTCCATCGTAGGTGGTGGCAACAGTCCAGTTTAGCGTCGTTGTGGTCCACGATGCCGTTGGCGCAAGTGACATCACCCGCATATACCCGTCATGTACATGATACGTACACATACACTGTCATGGAAAAAGCGTGCATGTATCAACGTTGTCGTCCTCGTTGCCGAGGCTTTCAGGGCCAGCCATGGGGTCATCAACAGGTTGGATGAATCTGGTTATGCGTTGCCAGTCGTAACTAGAACGCTGAACTTCGAGTATATCTGTACTAGTAGGCACCTATGCTTGCTGGTACTGCTGAATTGTAATATAAAGGAGGTTTTTGCAGTTTGCACCGCATCTGCACTCAGGCGACTGTAAACATGTCTGTGCTACTGATTGTTTTCCGAACACCGCCAGAACAATCCGAGCAATCATTGATCTCGGCTATACTACTGATACTGTTTATCATAACACCGTGGTTGAGTCTTGAGACTCCATATGCAGCTTCCGAATGTCAGTATCATGGTGGTACAAGCTTGGCATGCGAGATCTGAACAATTTCTAAAGCTTGCATCACAGCGTCGCACCCAA